ATTTAGCCAAGCAAGACAACAACTTGGAGACACCCGTCACTCATTGGGAAGCAATGCTTTGGATGTTTTAGTATGTTTCACAGATTGGATTAGATCGGAACGAAGAAATCAAGGACATAAAGATGTTGATAGCCCAGAAGACGAGGAACTTGGAGATATATTAACACATGGTAACCCATCCGAATTTAACACTCCAGAAGAAGGTCACTCAGTTCATATTGATTATGAAGAACTTACTAAGGCAATGCAAAACCTTTGAATTTATTCTTTTTTGGTTAGTTTACTTGTTGTTAAATGTAAAACTTTCAATTTGTAAGTTTGAATTTTGAAATAAATATAGCACTTGCAATTTATAAGTGCAATTTTTTCCCATCTTCCTTATATTCTTTATATTAATACAAAGTATTAATATAACTTAAAATAGTTATACAAAATACAAAAAAAAAACACTAAACCCGGCCCGACCCCCTCAACCCGTAACTCTTACGGTTCAATTTTTACCCGGATAAACCCGAATCCATTAAACCCGGTATGCCCCAACCCGTAACCGACCCGGACCATAACCCGTACAGGTACTAAAATTCCCTACCCAGCCCGGCCCCGCCCATCCGTTAAACACCCATACTTTTCACGCATCAGTCAAGGTTAGACACCTCCAAATTTGGGGTAGGACTAGAAGTAGATACTTTCAACCTTAGGTAAGTCAAGTAAAAACTTATCCGCATCCTTTATTTACACAACCATATAATGTTACATATGTATTTATATATAACTTTTTCACTTAATCATGATAAATTGATATAACTTCATGTAAACATCTAAATTTAGCTTGTTATATTGAATGTGCCCAATGTGAAAAATGCAAAGATGGTATGATCCTTGGTTAGCTAAAGCCTAAAGGATATGGGTGAGAGCACACATCACTTGACCAATGCCGAAGTAATAAACGTGCATATACAATATGTCTTGCATCAATTGGCACGAAGTAAATACCAGACGCGAGTAAGGTTTTACCGATACTAATTATAGCATGTAAGGGAATAATTTCTGAGAATTTTTTTATCTATTGCATACATCAACTCAATGAATATATCACACGTGCATTGTTCTCACGAAAACCATAATTAACCAATACTCATTTTTATCTTAATTTATTACTTAATCATGATACATTCATATAATTTGACGTAAACATTAGGTACATTGTCCATTGAATATCATGATTTTGTGTCTCATCAATAAGGGTTGGCAAGAATTATCCATAAAACGAATTACAAATAATGATTAACATAAGGATGAACGGTTTGAAACAATTACCGAGAAATACGCAAGACCTGCCATGCAAAACCAGAGGAAGCTCAAAAACAGCCCCTCGCTCTACTCTTCACCATTACATTCTTTTTTACCTCTATTATACCGCTATTTATTCATCATCTTTCAATCCTTCACCCCCCTACAGAAAACAGTGGTATCGGCGATAACCTCGCCGGTGTCCCATTTTTCCCTTACAAAAATAAAAATAAAAACAAGAACCATTTTCATAAGCAGAAACAATAATATTCTAGGTACCAACAATTTTTTCAAGATTTGTTTACGTTTCCTGGCTGTCTTTTCTCATCCCTGAGAAAAAAAAAACAGGAAATTGGTTTCATCATATTCTTTTTCTTTCTAAAAAATTTTCAACTTTATCCTGTTATTTGTATATTTTGGAGGCCATTTTGGATAAGTTCTCTCTTTAAAACTTTATTGGGTATTTGGGTATTATACTGCTTGATTATCTTGATTAGTTTATATGCTGCATTTACGAATTGATGAGCATGGCGGATATTGGGGGAGAGAAGAAAAAAGTAGTGATAATTGGAGGTGGAGTTGCTGGCTCTCTTATTGCAAAGACACTTCAAGACGAGGCCAATGTTTTTCTCATCGATACGTGAGCATTCTTTTCTGCTTTTTTCCACATTCTATCATTATTATTATTTCGCGTTACATAGGGGGAAGGGGTAGTGGGAATCAAACCTAAATTTATCAGGTAGCGGAGCCGCATGCAATGAAGAGGATTCGTCGCAAAGTTATACTAGCAAATAGGAAAAAAATTAGAGACCCCCACATATATAACATATTCTAAACTCAAGCCTAACGAGCATGTATTTTTTTGAAACAAATACTCTATGGGAAATTATTAGAGAATAAGTGGAAATACTCTATGGCAAATAGGAAAAAAATTAGCGACCCCCACATATATAAGTGGCATTCTCAGATCCTTGATATTAGAGAATACGGGTTCAAATCTCAGGTGTGACATTTATGTACGCTTTTTAATCCCTTTGTCAGAATTTGTCTCCGCCACTAAATTTATTGTATAGGAGACTCCAACGGATACAACTGACTATAAGCCTTGGTCATTCTATCATCAGGTAAAGGCCGATTATAGCTAATTTAAGATTGAGGTTTAGTTGATATTTGAATGTTTTTATTGGTTAAATAGATACAAAGAAATTATTATAGCCCGACACAAATTAATTTGGAAACGAAACATAGTATATTCTTTCAATGATAGGGTTACGTGTCCCACATTGGTTGAGAGAATTAGTTGTTTGTCTTCTTATATAGTCTTTAATTGCCTTCACCTCATAAGCTAACTTTTTGGATTGAGTTAAATTCATGGTCCATTTTTTAACGTAGTATCAGAGCTATACCCTTCCCTATTCTTAGTTTACCCTTGTGTTGGGCCTCCATGTTATGTTGTTCACGCTCCAGATGTCCCGTAGTGGGCTTGCGGGGGTGTAACGTGTTCCACATTGGTTGAGGAATAAGTATAGTCTCCTTATGTGGTCTTGGACTATCCTCATCTCATAAGTTATTCTTCAGGTTGAGTTAGGGAAGGTTGAGTTAGGTCCAATGTCCATTTTTTGAACATAGCTTATTTTGTACCAATGGAAGAAATTATTGGCCAATAACATGGTTAATAGTAGTATTAATTTATTATTTGTAGTGTGTTCTTAATTAACTGAATGCAAGAAATGTGAACAGGAAGGAGTATTTTGAGATTCCTTGGGCAGCTTTAAGGTCAATGTGTGATCCTTCATTTGCAAAAAGAGCAATCTTTAGCCACTCCGAATACCTTCCCCATGGACATGTCATTACATCTTCTGCTGTTGACATCACAGATAAGGAGGTAGTAACTGCAAAAGGCGACAGAGTTGCATATGATTACGTTGTGATTGCTACTGGTCACTCAGATGTTAGTGGTTACACAAAAGATGAGAAGTTCTGTCAATATCAAACGGGTAACATCATGGATCAGTTGATATACTTGTATAGATTGCATGATTGATCTTTTTTTTCCTTAAAAACTTTGCTAGTAATGGAACCAAATGAATCCGAACAAAGCAAAATGAATATAGAGGATTCATACAATCAAACTCGAATAGTTTGCGATTGAGTTTTAGTTATTGTGTACCTTTCCTATTGAGATGCGAGAGGCAGGGTTGAGATGGTTCGGACATGTTAAGAGGAGAAACACAGAAGCTCCAGTTAGGAGGCGTGAGAAGTTAGTCTTGGTGGATATGAGGAGGGGTAGAGGTAGGCCAAAGAAGTCTTGGGGAGAGCTGATTAGGCGGGACATGGCACAACAATATGGAGATCGAGAATTCGGGTAGAAGTTAGTAGGTAGTCGAACATTTCCCTTTGTCTTCCTCAGTTCGATAGCATTAGTGTTAGTGTGATATCTTTTTGTTCTTAGATTGCTATAACTATCTAGCGTTTAACTGTTATGCTGTTGTAACTTGTTGTCATTACTTCTTTTCATCCTTTCTTTAGCCGAGGGTCTATCGGAAAGTACTTCTCTATCCTTCCAGGGTAGGGGTAAGGCTGTGTACAACTGTATTTCTTACCCTCCTTAAACCCCACTTGTGGGAATCCACTGGATTTTTTGTTGTTGTTGTTGTTCTTTCCTTTTTGCAGGGCTCATGAACAACTTCAGTTTTACTCATTTTTCTTTGTTAACAGATCATGAAAAGATTAAATCTTCAAGCTCCATATTAATAATCGGGGGAGGACAAACAGGCGTAGAACTAGCTGCTGAAATTTCTGTAGATTATCCCGATAAGAAGGTTACCATTGTGCATAGGGGATCAATGTTGTTGGAATTTATTGGAGAAAGGGCAAGCAAAAAGGTAGTGAATTGGCTAAAATCAAGGAATGTTGAAATAATTCTGGGGCAATCTGTAGATGTAAGTGCTGTAAAAGATGGTCATGTTTATAAAACATCTGGTGGAGAAAGTATAGATGCTGAGTGTCATTTTATTTGCATTGGGAAGCCAATTGGTTCGGGATGGATAAAAGAAACGGCATTGAAGGATAGTTTGGACATTCATGGAAGATTGATGGTTGATTCTAATTTGAGAGTTAAGGGTCGAAGCAATGTCTTTGGCATCGGAGATATTACTGATATCCCTGTAAGTCTTCAAGCCTTTCTCTATAGTACCTTTCTTTTTCGTTTTGAAAACTCATATTTATTATTGTTACATTGTTATAACAAAATGATTATGGTAAGAAAATTGAAACATGTTTCCCTTACTACCCTGGAAGTCTCACTCCGTAAACAGCTGATATAATACTATGTCAAGAAATACCAAAGAGGTTATAGTGATCTCTTGTGCCAAATATTGTGAGATGCTTCTCAAGGAATCAACAGTTTCATGCTTGTTTTAATCATATGAACTGAGCTATTCTGCATTATGTACAGAAGACTTCAGTCTTTTTTCCTTAAATGATGGAGTACTTTTTAATGTGTATCATGTGTACTTCCTCTGTAAATAATCTCCATTTTGCACAACCAACCTGCAGCTTGTGATACGTAATTTCTTTTAGATTGTTTTAAGCAGAGGCGGACCTATGTGTAACCTTGAGGGGGTCACCAGACCCTGTAAATCTCGGTAGAAACCTTGTATATGTATATGTGTATACCTTGAAAATATTTAACTTAAATTACGTAGCACTCTTAATTCTACAAGCCTTTAGGGGACATTGGTTGAGCAGAATACTGATGCCCTCGTCGCCTTAAAATCTTGATTGCGCCTCTGTTTTTAAGCAGTGAGTCCTACATAAGGAGAGACCACTTGTTATGCTTTTTGTCCATTTTTCTCACCAAGATTCGCTTACCTATATCTCGTTTTGATGTGTATATAGCCGATGTCAAATTTCTTCTTATTACATGCAAAAACCAACTTTGTATTATAATTGAGAAGCAACAGTAAGAAACATGATATAAACCTGAGCTGTCGATTAGGACAGTTTCACTTACTGCTTCTTACTTCTATATTTGCATTGTTTTACTGTGTGTCTTTTACAATATAAATGACAATAACTTGTATGTGTTGTTATATAAATGATGCATACATTTTATTACAATAAGAGATTCTGACATAGTACTGGTGAAAATCCAGGAACTTAAACTAGGATATTTGGCTCAACGACACGCAGTGGTAGCTGCCAAGAACATCAGACTATTAATGAAGAACCCAAGTGACACCAACTTGAATGTATATAAGGCTGCTTTGCCATTGTCATTAATTGCTCTAGGCAGAAGAGAGGCTGTAGCTCAGTTTTATTGTTTATCGATGATTGGACGTATTCCAGGGATGATAAAATCTGGAGATTTATTCGTTGGAAGAACTCGGAGGCAACTTGGTTTGCTACCTGAACTTTCATAAACTTGTATTTTATCTGCAGGTTTAACATGTATTCTTTTAGCTAGTTCCCTTGTAAACATCATAGTTGTTAATAATATGGTTATATTCAGTTAGATGGGGTCTTGTTCTTCTCTTTGATTTTCTCTTTCTGTTCTTGTACTAGATTGTGGGGGCTCTGTAACCTACTGTTCCTTGCTTATCCTCTGCTTGTTGTGAATGTTAGTAAACATATAGGAGTATTACAGTTTGCAATTTATTGTTGAATTTAAATTTTCGTGGGTCATTTTTCGAGATTCACCGTGCGTCACCCACATCGTCAGAGTATTCATCGTAATCGAAGCCTGCAACTAGCTTTTTCTGGTGTGCACGTCTCCAAGCTCTTAAGGGTAAGCCAACCGAGACCCACACCTTCGCTTTACTATCGGCATACTCGCCCCGCCAAACTTGGGCTCTGATACTAAGTTGTTGGGCTAAACCAGCCCAAAGATACTCTTAACATGATGTAGTACTGTTCGCTTTGGACCAAGTCCGCACAATTTTTCCCAAAAGGTCTCACAACATTAATTTATATATAGGTTTCTAATCTTTTTAGTTATCAATGTGATATTTTATTCGCACATTCAATACTTGTAAAGTAATTATACATAAACCTCTTTCTTAAACATATTCATGAGCAAGCTCATAAAAATAATAACTGACCTGTTACAATTGGTTAAATTAGATTGATCTTGTAAGAAATCTTTTATATAACTTAATACCTTTATAATCTCCGCTCTCGACAATTTTTCATCATCATGAAAAGGCAGTCTCTTTCCCAATTCTTATTACTAGTCACCATTTATTTTGTCCAAAGAGAAATTGAAGTGGAGTACTTGTATTTTCTATAAATTCTTTTTTCAAAAAGTACATTTTGACCCTAGGAACGCATGATTATTAGATTTTTGAGCCGCAATTCAAGTTTGTGGGACAACTTGATGACCAAGCGGTCACATTCAAATTCAAATTATATTGTTATGAGTTCGAAATTAATTGACCTTTTGACTTGCTGTTGACAAAATGGTCTAATCTTACATGCTTAAGCTAAATCCAAAGGCAGCAGATCTTGTAGTAGTAAAGGCAAATCACCTTCCAACGTGCATTGTATTTCTTCTTTTTGTATTGTATTTGAATTTCACTTCTAATGTAATCATTAAGGAACTAAATTCAATTTTTCCGTTTTTAACAAATTTGTGATTATTTGAACAAATATTTTGTGCACAACTAGCACGAAATGCCATAATGGATAGAACTTATATATACCAACAGTGTAAATATATTCTTACAATATTAAGTCATCAAAAATATATCTATATATCTTTCTATTACAAAAAGAAAAACAAGGTAAATGCAAAAAACTCGTGACACACGAAACAAGAGATAATATATTCTCCCTCCTTGGGTGTCAAGAATAAATGTTTTTATTTTCTAATTATCGACCCTAATTTCAGGTCTATTTTCATAAATGTATAAATTTTGGTACGAGCCTAAAGTATTTAAAACACAAAATAATTAGTAGCATATTTTTATTTTTATTTTTATATGTAAGGAACTGAAAAGGTTTTACATATTTTTAACTTTTTTCGGACAAAGCACAACGGATCATTTGTCAGAGTAGTACACTCGTACAAATTTATCAATTTCAATCAGTTGTGAAGCGCAATTGCCTTACAACTTAGCAACTCCGATTGAATCAGAAACCCTAAATTTTAAGACCGGCGACGAAGAAGAGGAAAGGTAGAAAGATGAAGAGGGTTTTCGGCATTAAGAAAGAAACACAACCTCCTCCCTCCGTTCAAGATGCTTCCGATAGGGTAATCTTTTTTCTCTAACAAAACCAAAGCTGTACTGTAAATACTGCTCAACTATGCACATGCACTGCAATGTCTCTATCATTTTCTGTTTTTTTTGTTATTGTTTTTTGGGGCTGTTTCGAACGGGTATTCAATGTTTTCTGCATTTTTTTTACTATCAATTGAACTTCCTCTGATCTGAAAATAGTGGCGGGTTCGAGGATGTATACCATCACAAGTACACCAGATCCCAATGAGCTATTATATTATTGTTATTATTATTATTTGTAGTAGTTGAGGTAGGATAGGTGTCATGCAGAAGCGAATCTAGGATTTAAATTTGATGGTTTCAGACTTTCTATTCTAACGACTGAATCCGTAACACTTTTGGAATTATGGGTTCGGAATTTAAGTATTTGTCAAATTTCTGGTATAATTAGTGATTTTTCACATATATCAATACTCCGTGTTGAAAAGACTGGTTCAGTGGAACACATTGGTTATATTCTTCATCGCCCTCTGCTGCTACGGGAAGTCCTCGTGTTGTATCCTTCAGTATGTAAATTCGAGCTTGATGATCACTGCATCTATTTTGTAAATTTTAGATCAAATCTTTATATTTTTTATAATTTAAACTAGTCATAGAAACTAGATAAAAAGTATAACCCTTTTGGCAAAAGTTTTAGAAAATGTTGAAAAAATCGTAGTCAACGAAATATTGCTACTCTTGAAATAGTTTTAGTGCAAACATGCTTCTTATGACTTCTTATGATCTGATCATACGATATGTGTCAAAATGGTTGCTCGATTAGTATTGAGTGTGGAAAAGAAAATGCTTTATTTTTTATCCCTTGAATGTGATACGAGTATTTTATGAACCAAAATTACATGAGGGAATTGCAGCGGAACTGAACTTCTTTCATTTCTTTTCTTGGGCTGTTTCACAATCTTTGGCAGTAGAATGAAAATATGGTTGCTTGTTATGGTTTCCAGTTGATTCACCCGGAATATTTATCTATTTTTCACTCTCAGCAGTTTTGATGATTACTACTGGTTGCAGGAATGAGTAATCTGATATTTTAAATTGCTTCTTGATTGTCCAGATTAATAAAAGAGGTGAGACAGTGGAAGAGAAAATCAAGAAGCTTGATTCTGAACTTGCAAGATACAAGGAACAGCTGAAGAAGACTCGACCGGGTCCAGCTCAGGAAGCTATAAAAGCTCGAGCAATGAGGGTTTTGAAGCAAAAGAGAATGTGAGCTATAATAATATATTGTTACCTCGAATGTGATGAAGTTAAAGTGGCTTGTCAACAATCAAGTTCAATTACTTGTTAATGAGTTATACTGACATTTCAAGTCTAACGATTTGAGGTCTGGAATAAACTATTAAAGCACAGTAAACCAGGTGTGAGCTATAATAATCTATTGTTACCTCGAATGTGATGAAGTTAAAGTGGCTTGTCAACAATCAAGTTCAATTAGTTGTTAATGAGTGTATACTGACATTTCAAGTCAAACGATTTGAGGTCTGGAATAAACTATTAAAGGACAGTAAACCAGGCTCCTCTCTCTCGCTCTCTTCTAGCACACGCACACACGTGCACACACACTCAGCCTCTCTCCCTCAGAACTTTGAAAGACATGGAAAGTTAAGATACAAACTTGGTGCTCCTTGGTGTGACAATATAACGAGAAATAGAAACAGTGGGTTAGTCATGTTTAAGGACTTTTTATCTGAGGTCCATTTTTTTAAAGAGCTTCAGGAAATTGAGCTGGTTCCTTAATGCAGTTCCTACAAAAGCCATGCCGGGTTTTTAAAGAAAGATAAGAAAAAAGAGGAGACAATCTAGCTTCCTGTGTTTCTAATATGATTCTTCTACTGATATCACTTGGTTATATTTGAAGCAAAGCAAAAGTAGCCGGACCGTTAATTTCAGTTGAAAGAATCGAAACACTTAACTGCACTCTTGTTTTCCCTTTGTTGTTTGTGGTCGAAATTACATTTTCAGACACTACTTAGGCGTAACTTTCTCTATCAGCCGAGACACACTTCTTTTGCTTGTTTTTTCAGTCTTAGATCATGTGTTGACATTTTGTTTTCAGAAATGCTTAAGCTGTCCATTGAATAATCGACAGGTATGAAGGTCAACGTGACATGCTATACAATCAGACGTATAACCTGGACCAGGTCTCATTTGCTGCTGAGGGAATCAAAGATGCTCAGCAAACAGTATGTTAAATGGAGTTCTTCTCTTTCCTGAGTTACATTTTCACAATTCCAAAGTCCAAATTTTGTCCTATTGCATATTACTGTATATCGATTGCTTGAGTGGATAATTCTTAACTGCATTACCCCAAAAGGAGAAGACACCATTTCCATCTTGATATTCCACAGATCCACAAGTCCATAAACATTTTTTGTTTAAGTTCATGTATGGATAGTAGCCTGTAAATCGGAGATCTAGAACATATTGTGAAGCATCATTTTGTTTTAACAACACATGCTGCTTGAATTCTAAAATGCTTTACTTTAAACTTTTGACTGATTTATATTTATGGAAGTAGAGAAAAATTAGCTTAAATTATTGACTGGCAATCATCCAGCATGATTACGGATAGTTAGGCTTACGAGTTGCTGTGGTTGACAGACTTTTCAGCTATGTGAAATTCATGTTAAAGTTGTCTTTTTCTTGGTAGCGCCCCATCGGGCACAGCTCAAGGCTTGTCAAGCGAAGCTTATTCTGTAACCTGATTGGAACCTGCTGCCTACCTCCCTAGAGGTAGGAGGACAACCAATTTGTCATGAGGAAGGGATTTCTTTTTGTGTCCCCTAGAGTTTATTATTCTCCAATTCGTTCCATTTTAATTTGAAAATTGGTGTTTGAAGGCACAATTGAACAATTGGATTCATTTGTTTGGAGTGGGATTGGCGATTATTAACTTGGTTTTGTCTCTTCAGATGGCGGCTTTGAAGTCAGCAAACAAAGAATTAAAAGGAGTGATGAAAACTGTGAATATTCAAGACGTAGATGTATGTATTCTCCATTACTGTTATATGTTTTCTTTTAAGTACCCCTAAGTTTCATCTTTTCCTTTTTATTTATATCTATGGTTTTGAATTTTATCCATATCGTGATGGTCTTCTGTGTAAATGTAGAACTTACAAGATGAAATGGTGGACCTGATGGATGTAAGCAATGAAATTCAAGAGACTCTTGGTAGAAGCTATGGTGTGCCCGATGACGTTGACGAAGAAGAGCTCATGGGTGGTAAGATTTTTTTAGCACTTGTACATTTGAATATTCTAGTGAAAGCATGTTTGATGAGCAGTTAGTTACTTCTTTATCAGAGCTTGATGCTTTGGAAGC